TCCTCCTCCTCCCGTCGCGTCTCCTCCTCCTCGCGTCTCCTCCTCCTCGCGTCTCCTCCTCCTCGCGTCTCCTCCTCCTCCCGTCTCCTCCTCCTCGCGTCTCCTCCTCCTCCCTTCTTCTCCTCTTCCTCCTCTTCCTCCTCGTCCTTCTCTTCCTTCTCTTCCTTCTCTTCCTTCTCGTCCTTCTCTTCCTTCTGTTCCTTCTCTTCCTTCTCTTCCTTCTCTTCCTTCCTTCCTTCATCTTCCTTCCCCCTTCAAAAAACCGGAAATCCAGATTTCCGGTTTCTGGAAGGGGGCCGAAGGTCTCCCCAAAAACCACCCGAAATCGAGATTTCCGGGTTTTGTGATCGTGCTCCCCCGGGTTTTTCCTCCTCCTCCTCCTCCTCCTCTCCTCCTCCTCCTCCTCCTCCTCCTCCTCCTCCCTTCCTCCTCCTCCTCCTCTCTCCTCCTCCTCCTCCTCCTCCTCCTCCTCCTCCCTCCTCCCTCCTCCTCCTCTCCTCCTCCTCCTCCTCCTCCTCCTCCTCCTCCTCCTCCTCCTCCTCCTCCTCCTCCTCCTCCTCCTCCTCCTCCTCCTCCTCCTCCTCCTCCTCCTCCCCTCCCCCTCTCCTCCTCTCGGCGGCGAGCAAGGGGGAAGTAATAAGGAGAAGGCCTTCTCAGAAGGCGGCGGAGCTTCTCAGAGGACCTCCGGCCCTCTGAGAACTTGTTGCTGCGTCATCGGAAAAGGCTTGGACAACTTCTTAGAAAGCCGGGGGACTCCCGAGCCGTCTGTGAAGACCTTCCCCCCCTCGCCCGCCGCCGTTCCTCCTCCCCTGATTCTGGACTCCTGCTGACGGAAGAGAACGTTTCTGTGCCATCGGGGATGGCTTGGACAACTTCTTCGAAAGCCGGGGGACTCCCGAGCCGTCTGCGAAGACCTTCCCCCCCATCGCCCGCCGCCGATCCTCCTCCCGTGATTCTGGACTCCTGCTGATGGAAGAGAGCGCCGTGCGCGGCCTCCCCCGCCACAGGCCAGTCGGCCGTTGGGGGGGGGTGATCGAACCAGGGCTGGGGGTGATCCTGGGGGCACCGCTCCAGGCGTCGCCGGCGGCGCACGTAGATGTTCGGCGTAGGTAGATCTCTCCTCCTCCTCCTCCTCCTTCTCGTCTTCCTCCTCCTCCTCCTCCTCCTCGTCCTCCTCCTGCTCATCCTCCTCATCCTCCTCCTGCTCATCCTCCACCGTCCCTTCTTTTTCCACAAAACATCTCCCTGCCCCACCAAGAAGCAAGCTTTTGAGGCGGGCCGGACGTTTCGCCTGAGCCTTCCTCACCACTGATGACTCTGAAGCAAAAAAAGGCGACAGCTTCACAGATGGAGGGCGGGTCGCTTTCGAAATGTGGCTCTCGCCTTAGCGCCGCGCACATTCGTTCTAAAAAAATCACGAGCTTCACGGATTGAGGATAACCCGTTTTCAAAATGTGGCTCTCGCCTTAGCGCCGCGCGCATTCCTTCTACAAATTTGCACGAGCTTCACAGATTGAGGATAACCCGTTTTCAAAATGCGGCCCTCGCCTTAGCGCCGCGTACATTCGTTCTACAAATTTGCAAGAGTTTCACGGATTGAGGGCGGTATCTTTTCAAAATGTGGCTCTCGCCTTGCGCCGCGCATATTCGTTCATACAATTTGCAATAATTTCACGAACTCTCACGATCAACGTACCTGAAATTGCGTTTTGGAAGGATTCTGGATTTTGCGGGTGCAGCAGTTGCGTTGATTGACGGTGCTGAAGTCCAAAAAAATGGAATCCTGGCACGATCCAGGATCGTCAAGGCGCAACAATCAAGTTAATCCGTTGGAATCCCGAGAACATTGTTTTGGCATGCTGCCCGTCTTCAAGCGGGTGTCTTCTAACGAGGCAGATCCGTCAATGGAAATGAACCGTTGTAGGGGCCCATGAAGAGTGAGCTTGGAGGGATGGTGTATTCCAACATCGGTGATGGCTCTTGGGTTTTACACTGGTCATCCTCCTCCTCCTTCTCCTCCTCCTCCTCTTCCTCCTCCTCCCGCAACTCGCACGTCGCTGGGGCGCACCACAGCGTCTGTCCACGGCCGCTCGCCCGCCGTCTACCTCGTGCACCTGCTCCTGCTCGCGGCCCGCCTTCTCCTCCTCCTCCTCCTCCTCCTCCTCCTGCTCCTCCTCCTCGCTGTGTTCCTCGTAGACAGCTCCTCCCTGGCGCGCTCCTCGACGCATCGAACGGGGGCGGGCCAGCGGGACCTCACGGGCGGGCGGGCAGACCCTCGCGGGCGGGCGGGCGGGGCCTTTCGGGCGAGCGGGCACGGGCGGCGACGGCTGCAACAAGCAGGGCGAGGACGGCGAGGACGGCTACGACGGGCAGACGGAGTAGAGCAGCCGCGTTGACGGGCAGAACGGCAAAAGCAACAACGAGCCCGCCCTTGACGACTGCGGGACGACGACGACGACGACGACGATGACAACGACGACAACGACGGAGGTATCCTCCACGCGGAGGAAGCATATCACCACAGTGCCCTGTCAACTGCCGGCGCGAAGCGCCAGGCAGCGCACGTGCAACGGGAGAGAGAGGAGAGGCGGTAGAGCGAGGTGGCGGCAAGGGTACTCGTCGACGACGACTTGCTAAGGTAAAGCCAACGAGGGGGACTACGAGTGCGATGAGGAGGGCGAGTGCTACGACGACGACGACGGGCAGAAACATCCCACCAGAACAACGGCAACACGGCCATCGACACTCCTGCCACCACCGTCTGAGATCGGCACCACGAGGGCCAGAACGAGGCGGGCCTGGGACGAATACCGAAGACCGGATGAGCCCCACCCTCCTCCTCCTCATCTCACTCCTCCTGGATTCAAACTCCCCCTCCCCTTCGTATGTATGGTCCTCATCCTCATCCTCAACGTTCTCCCTATCCGGATACCCCCCCCCGATCCCTGTTGTCGACGAATCGCTCCCGCTTCTGCAGATTTATTTCTGTGAAAATTGTGGAGCCAGACCGAATTTTCGGAAACCCAGGTTCTGTAGCCAGGTGTCGGGGAGTGGGTCAGTGGAACCAACCCTGTGGGACCGCTTCTGTTCGGTGGTAACTCATGGGAGCCTCCCATAGCATCTCGCTGAATCTTGCGAATCGACGCTAACCGACGCTGGATCGACGCTAATCGATGCTGGATTGGCCCAATATCATCGATTACCAGATGCTAATCGACGCTAGTGCAATCGAAAGCTTGCGTTACGAAAATATACTAGGCTCCAATGATTTGCTACCGAACGTCTGCGCAACAGATCCAGAAGTATGGCCCAAGTAGATGAAACAGGCCTTTGATGAACTGATGTCTGCTGAACCAAGTCGCTGATAAACTGCGGAACCGATTCCTGTTGGACTGGTCTGCGTCTGTAGGAAACAATTGGCATGGCCCGCAGAACTGATTGGCAGCAGAGTCAGGCGTCAGCCCAAACTCTCCTAGCCTGTTGAAGAGGGCCTTGTGGCAGCTTGAATCGCATTCTGAATTCCCTTCTGACCCTCACTCTGCAGTCTCCCCATCATGTTCACTCATGCCGCAAACAGTGAATCAAGTATAGGAAACAAGCATCAAAAACTGACTAAATCTTATCAACTCTCCAAAGCCTCCTCAAAGCCCGTAGCTTCTCATTATCATACCACTACCATGGACTTTGAGGTTCAATCCAGACAACGCCACCACGAATTCGACACGCTGTCAACATAGAGCCCTGAACAGCAAACGAGTTCACAAACCACATTGCGATAAGAAACAACCATGCAGAACTAACCAGCCCTGGGCGGGCCCAACACCTTCACAAGCGGCAGCACGAGTAACCCAAAGTGGCAGATCAAGCAACTCCCATGAACTGGGCATTGGTGGAAGGACCCTGACACACTGACAGGCATGCCTGAACGGATGAATGCAAACGCGCCCGGGTACGTGCGAGTGTCCAATACGCATGTATACATGCTGCGTGCATGTAGGCGCATTACAAAGATACTCAAACGCGTACGTTGCGCATGTTCACAACGTGTGATCACTAGTTGCGCATGTACGTGCAAACCTGGGTATGTGCAACAAGAGGCAGATGCGTGCTGGGCAAGCCCACAGCACAATAACCAAAGCAATGGCACCAAGACGGACAACTGGTCGCTTTTCGCGTCGGACAAGTCTGATATGAGCCTTCCATGACTGAGCTTTCACCGCCTGGAACGAATGATTCCAAGATGTGAGTGCTAGAATAACTGAGCAGCCCGAAAGAGAATTGCCCGATTGTCGTCTGCACTGCAGGGTTGGTCAGAGGACGTGGCATAGAGACGGCGTAGCAAACACAACCTGGAGGATCGTGGGCTGACAAACAGTTAAGCAAAAATGCGCTCTTTTTGATTCGGATTGGCGCGCATCAGGTCAGTGACCACCATCCGCTTGTAGGGAGTGCTCCACGACAGCACCACGCCGCTGATGGACTCTGCCTCAATCTCGCGCGGGGCAGAGAGGTCAAAATCACAGCAAACCCAATACCGAACGGAGACATACAGTGGGGGCCCGACCATAAGAAGCCCTTCACAGGAAACCCGACCCTGAGACCCCGGGGCGTCCACAGATGTTTGGTGTGGGAACGCAACGCCTTCCACGGCAGCACCATCGAAACCCACGAAAACCGGGGCACCCCGGAGGCAAGCGGGGTGCCTCTTGGCATGGGCCTCCACCGTACGACGACACACTTCGGATGGAGAGCCCGCTGCCTGCACGAGCTCGTGAGCGAGAAGCGGGCCCCACACCCACGGCCTCGCGGCCGGGACACCCCCAGGCCGCAACACCCCAAAGGTCCGATCGGACGCCCGAGAGCGTCACGCCCCCCTCGGTGGGGACGGCGAACGCCAAGATCTGGTGGCTGATTTCCATCGCCCTCCCCCCTCCTTCTCAAGCACGGGAGGGGGAGGAGGAGGAGGAGGAGGAGGAGGAGGAGGAGGAGGAGGAGGAGGAGGAGGAGGAGGAGGAGGAGGAGGATGCACAAGGCCGCGCGTTGCAGATGTTCCGCGCGAGACGCGTCCGTGGCATCGCGAGCACGGGGCGGCGCACCCGCCCTCCGCAGCGGCACACTGACCCGAGGAAGCCCGAGGAGACGCCCCCGCAACGGCACACTGACCCGCCACCGTCGGTCCCCGCGCCCCATAAACACCTCCTACTCCTCCTCCTTCTCCTCCTCCTCCTCGTCCTCGTCCTCCTCGTCCTCGTCCTCCTCCTCGTCCTCCTCCTCCTCCCCCGACAGAGAGAGACAGAGGAGCGGTGGCCAGCAGAGGTATCGCCGTCGGCACGAAGGCAAGGCCTAAAACAGCGGGGTCCGATCGGAGAGAACGCCCGAGAGGGTACCCGTCGGTCGGAAGAAGTAAGTAGAACTATGAAGCAGGAAAGCGTTGGAAGAAGATTGGGTGTCGGAACCTGGGAATCCCAAAAGACCTACGTCCAGCAACCGATAGGTACACGTCCGAAGGCACCGCACGCTCCAGATGTGAGGGGGTCATGTCATGCGGCAGACTGGACACCAGGGCAACGTTGAGCTTGCAGGGGCGGCCTACCAACCAGACCGACTGTGAGCGTTGACAAACCCCGAGATGGCATGATGTGTATTCCGAACCTGGTGATACGACAGGCCTATAAACTGAAGTCGGGCGTGTCCACCCACAGGGGGATTTTTGACGGAAAAATAAAAAACATACTCAAACAATGTTCCAGATGGTCAAAAAAAACCAAACAATCCCCATATTTTGTTTTCACTATGTTTGAATATATCCCCTGTAGAGGGACAAGCCCGACTTAACAATAGACCACTTGGCATTCGCGCGGGCCCCCGGGAGCGGTGACCCCGCCGAACAGGGCCCCCGAAACGGGCGATGTCGCCTCAAGACGGCCCACGAAGCCTTCGAGATGCCTCAAGAGAGCCCCAGGAACCCTCCCAAGAGGGCCCCGCGAGGTCCAAATCACTGCTGTTGCGTAACGTGTTCAATGCATTCGACGCACCAGGACGTCCAGAGAGGCCCCCAAGACCGCTCCAAGACCGCCCCAAGGCGGCCACAGAGGCCCCCAAGAGGGCCCCAAGACGGCCCCAAGAGGCGCCCAAGACGGCCCCAGGAGGGTGAACACGAACCGACAATCAGAGCCTTCCGACCCAAGAGGCGCCCACCGGGAGGACCCAAAAGGCCCCAAAGAGCCCCCCCAGGCCCCCAAGAGGCCCCCCCCCCAAGAGGCCCCAAGAGGCCCCCAAGAGGCCCCAAAGAGGCCCCGAACCAGCGCACCAGAAGCCTCAGACCTGCCTCCAGGAGGCCCCCGAGAGGCCCTGACGAGATCTCAACGACCATCCAAGAGGTCTCAGACCCACAACCCAAGCACGGTGGCGGGATGGACCGGAGGTCATTGGATCCGCCGCCCTGTGTGCTTGTCATAAGGGTGCCTGGCGTACTCAGCCCTGCCGCTTTTGGTTTTGGCTCTTCTCCAGAAGAACTGCTCCTGGGGCTTCGGCGCGTCGGGCTTCCGGCCAACCGGAAGGCTGCTCGCGAGGTGGTTCCAAAGGATGCTCCTGGTCCGGATGGCTCCAGGATGGCCCAAGATGGCCTCCAAGACGGCCATGATGGCCTCAAGTTCACCAAAGATGGTCCAAGATGGCCTCCAACACGGCCCAAGAGGGTCCAAGATGCCTCCAAGTCCGCCCAAGAAGCCTCCAGGACGGCCCAAGATGGCCTCAAGATGACCCAAGACGGCCCAAGATGCCATAAAGAGGCCTCCAAGACGGCCCAAGAGGCCTCCAAGAGGTCATCCAGGAAGGCCCGAAGAGGCCAAAATCATTGATTGCATTGATTCTCGAAGGAGTCTGGCTGGCATTTGCATCTTTTCGGCCTTCCGACGGCCTGAGAGGGCCCATGAGCCCCCAAAGATCGCCTCCAAGATCGCCCAAGAGGCCTCCAAGGTGGCCCCGGGATGGCCCAAGTGGCCCCCAAGACGGCCCCAAGACGGCCCCAAGACGGCCTCCAAGACGCCCAAGATGGCCTCGAAGACGGCCCTGCACCCCAAGAGGGCCCCAAGTCGGCCCAGAGAGGCCCCCAAGACGGCTTCCGAGGGCGTCAGACGCGCCAGGAGGCCACCATGCCAGCCCAAGATGGCTCCAAGATGGCCCAAGACGGCCCGCCCCCCAAGAGGTCTCCAAGACGGCCCCAGAGGCTTCCAAGAGGTTCTCCAGGAAGGCCCGAGGAGGCCCAAAGCATAGTTTGTCCTTAGGTGTTTGAAGAATTTTGGCATTTGCTTCTTTTCGGCCTTCCGACGGCACGAGACGGTCCAAGGGCCACCAAAGATCGCCTCCAAGATCGCTCAAGAAACCTCCAAGATGGCCCCAGAACGGCTCAAGAGGCCCCCAAGACTGCTCACTGCCCAAGAGGCCTCCAAGACGCCCAAGATGGCCTTCAAGACGGCGCTGGAGCACCCCAAGACGGCTTCCGAGGGCATCAGACGCGCTAGGAGGCCACCAAGACGGCCCCAGATGGCTCCAAGATGGCTCCTAGATTGCCCAGGACGGCCCACGAGGCCCCCAAGTTATCCCCCAGACTGCCCAAGAGGCCTACAAGAGGGCCTGCCCAGGAAGGCCCGAAGAGGCCAAAATCATTGAGTGCCTCCAGGTTGTTGGACGGTTTTAGCACTTCTACCTGTTCGGCCTTCCGACGGCCCGAGAGGGCCCAAGAGCGCCCGAAGATCGTTGTCAAGATCGCCCAAGAGGCCTCCAAGATGGCCCCAGAACGGCCCAAGAGGCCTCCAAGACGGCCCCAAGAGTGCCCCAAGACGGCCCAAGAGGCCTCAAGACGCACAAGATGGCCTCCAAGACTGCCCTGGAGCACCCCAAGAGGGCCCCAAGTCGGCCCAGAGAGGCCACCAAGACAGCCTCCGAGGGCGTCAGACGGGCCAAGAAAGCCCTAGGACAGCCCAGGAGGCCCCCGAGAAGCCCCCAAAGGCCCCCCAAAGGCCCAAGGAGGCCCCCAAGATGCCTCCAAGAGGCTGCCAGGAAGCTCCCAGGAGGCTCCAAGAGTGCCCCCAGAGCTCCCAAGATGCCCCCTCCTCTTCCCTTCTCTCCTCTGACGATGCCTGCTTGTGGTTTCGTCTTAGATCGCACTGTGGCTATTTTCCTCACCGTCGTGTCGCGCGCGATCGTCCTTGTCCTGCTCTATGCCTGTTTTATGCCACTGCTCTGCGCGCTCGTCCTCGGGTTGGTCGTCCTCGGGTGTTGCGCGCACTCCTCCTACTCCTCCTGATCTTCCACGCCACTCTCCCCTAAAGTGTTCCCCTACGATTTTCCACAACGACTGAGGGATCACATGGTCCGATTGATTGGCAGAGCTCTCCCCACAAACGCTCGGCCGCATGGGCCATTCCAAAAGGCAGGGTGCGGCGGTGACTCGCCGTGTAGGCGTCTTCGATGCGACAGGCCTGCAGAGCCCTGCGGGGCTCCCAGACGCGCAGGCCGTTTTGATGTCTTTCATGTTCCCCCCTCATGCCATCCGCCCTGATCATCCACGGCACAACAAGCGTGACACTCTCTTGACCACCCAGCATCATCCACGTATGTTGCAAGTCAGCTATGCTAAGACAAGGGCTTCAGCGAAGCTTGTGGGACTCCTCGGTAGCGTAACGATGTTTTTCATGTTCCCCCCTCACGCGCGGAATCTTATCAAACTGGTCCGACCTCCGATCCTGGAGCCTCGGCCCTACTTGATCAGCGGGTTGGCGAAGAGCAGCACCAGCGCAATGACGAGCCCGTAGATCGTCAGCGACTCCATGAAGGCGAGGGACAGGAGCAGCACGCCGCGGAGGTCGTCCGCGACCTCGGGCTGGCGGCTGATGCCGTCGATGCAGCGGCCGGAGGCGATGCCCTGACCGACGCCCGACCCGATGGCGGCGAGGCCGATGGCGAACCCCGCGCCCACGGCAGACAGCGCGGGGATCCACACGCTCGAGCCCTCCGCCGCGTAGGCCGCGGAGGGCGCCGCGACCGCCGCCGCGCCGAGCGCTGCGGCAGGCCCGGCCTGCGCCGCGGGGCGGGGCGCCACGGGCGAGGGCACGAAGGCGGCCATCAGGGCGGTGCACGCGAGCAGCACGGAGGCGGTCAGGACGGCGGAGCGGGGCGACGCCATGCTGGCGGGCTGGCCGCAGCTCGGTCAAAGAGATGGGGGGGGATGCGCGCGGCAGTGCCGAAGACTCGAGCCAGGAGGGCCGCGGGCCCCAAAGGAAGGCCGCGTTGGTCCTCCAACACGGTGCCTGCACTGACGGTGGTGCTGCGCCTCTGTCGAGGGGCCCAAGGACACACAAGTAAATACACACGAATAAAAAGATTCCCCATATTTTCTCGGTTTCTGTCTTCCCCCCCCACTTCCCATATGTTTCCATAGATTCGGGGGAAGCAAAGATTAATTGTGTCTGTGTGCTTCTTTTCCTCCTGACTCTGGATCAGTTGCTTGGCTGGCGAGGGTTTCGCCACGCGTCTGGACGTGGGCGCCTCGCCGATGGCTGGGTGGGCCCGGGCTCCGCCCGGTGCCCGCCCCGTGGGCGCCCCGTGCGCGGGCTGGGCGCAGACTCTCGTCTCTGCTCGCACGCGCAGGCCAGACGCATCCGTCCGGCTTCTCGCCCTGCCTTCCCTAGAGGGCCCCCTACAGTCGGGGCCTTGACCTAAGGAACCCGAAATGAGGAACGAGGCCCCTTTTTTCCATCAGTTAAACTTCGACTTCCGATCGAAAACACGAGGAAAACCTGAGGCAAGCTGCGGAACACTTAAGGAACACGGAGCCCCTCCCCAACGAAAAAGGTTCCTTCTTCAGGGCCCCGACTGTAGATGGGGTCGGAGTGGCTGGGGTCGGAGGATCGCGCCGCATCGCCGCTCCATCGGCGATCCTTCGGCGATGCGTTGGAGATGCACCGGCGATGCTTCGTCGACGTCGGCGATGCATCCGCGACGTCGACGCAAAGCAGGTCGAGCACCACATGGAGCCGCATCGCCGATGCATCGGCGATGCGAAGCGATCCCTCGACCCCATCTGCTCGGGCACCATCCAGGAGGCCCGGATTCCCCCCACCGACAAGTTGGGACTGTTGGGTATCCCGGCGTCGCGACTCGCCCGTCCTTGGCCAGCGACCGCCAAGCCCCGATCCTCGGGATGATCCCCGGGTCCGCCGCCCCGTCCGCCCCCCACATCGGGACCACCAGGCCAGCGTAGTCCTTGGGCGTGGCTTCATGGGGGGGTCATAAATGGGGGGGTCAGAAACGCTCCCCTTTTGTGCCTCGTTCGGGCCCCTCCGGAGCCCCAGGGGGCTCGTTTAGGTACCGTTTGGGTACCTTTTCGGACCACCCGCGACACCCCCCCATCCATGACCCCCCCATTACGCAACGCCCAAAGTCCGGGTGATTCCCGGGTATCCGGGTATCCCCACTTGCCAGCCATGCATGATGCAGCGGCACCCAGGCCCCAGAGATCCCCGGGAGCCGAAGGACGACGCAACGAACAAGCGTACAGACCAAGCGTAATTCCGTACGACACCCCCCCCTCCAGGCGAGCGTGCCTTCCGAACATCTGGAGCACAAGTGATATCACAAACAAGAGCATGCCCACGGAACGCGCATCGACACAACACACATCGAGAGCAGGCAATCAGATTATGCACTTCCCATCGGTCGGAAGAAGTAGGCAGAAACATTCAATAGGAAGGCGTTGAAAATAGATTGGGTGTCCGCCCGCCCCCTAAAGAGGACAAAAAAGGTGAGGCCACTCGATCATTGAAGGAGGAAGGCGCCCTCAAGTAGATTGGAATATGGGAATCCAAAAATACCTACTTTCAGCAACCGATGGGTAGGCATCACGAACACGCACCAAGAACAGACACGCATAACATGCATCTGAAACACACGTCCAACCCAAACATCCAGGACATACACGACTAATCAGCCGTATGAAACATGCAATAATAACAGGCCAACCTATACCAATACCCAGCAGACACAACAGGCATCAAGAGCACACGGCCATAGCGGACACATAGATCAACAACAATAGTCCATGACGTGCGCCAGGCACAAGCAAACACATGCCTTAACAGCCTACGTCTAGATAATATGAACATCATCCCTGGGGATCGCATATAAGGAACAAGAAGTTTGTGTTCACGATCACGCATTGTAAATACCACAAAGCGCCAGGCGCAGCCGAGCGATGTCCCCCCCCCGCCCGTCGTGATCCCCGTCAAAGAACCACGACGCGGACACATGCATTTGTATTGCAAGCACGTCGCGTTATAACTGGAATAATCCATATGATCTCATATCATGATGGTCATAAGTTTGCACACATGCCGAATCCATGTGGAACCATTCGTTATTGAAACATGCGGGAAACAATAACTACAACAAGCTCTTGGTCTTGAATCATATGTTGCCAATGTTCTGCGCTCTCGCACTTGCTGAAATGGAACGGGTGCCGTACGCTTCCGCTCCGACACACACACACACACACAAGGCCGTGCAAGTAACGCTCCCGCATGTCGAGAACACCCAACCATCACCACGCACTCGACCGCTGTCAAAGTATACGAGGATGGCCACATTCGCGGGTCTCCGCGCGCGCAGGCTGAAACCAGTGGACCGCCAATAATTATATATATATGTGCTAGAACCATCGCGCGCGCGCTTCGCGGGCGCTCAAGCTCTAGCTAGGCTTGATCGGCTAACTCATGTAATATCATGTTGGTCGCTTCTTGCGTCCAGGGACTCCCTTGGAGGCCCTGCGCAAGCCTCGGAATCGTATAAACGGGGAAGTGTGGAAACTCAGAAATCATTCATTTCCTGTAGATATTCAACGATTTGGAACCCTCAAAGGCTTCCTGGGTTCTTTTTTGGAGGTGAGGAGGGTCTGAATTGTGGTCTGTTGCGCAAGAGTACTAAACTGGGAGAAAAAAAGGAATTATGGAATTCACATGTATTCCAATCCCTCGGCGCTGTTCGGCGCTGCTTTTTGTTTGAGCCTCGCGGATGGTGTTAGCCGGGCCCCCCTGGGGGTTCTGGAGGCCTCCTGGAGGCCTGGAGAGCCGTCGGAAGGGTGCCTCGGGCTGCGCGGGAGCGTGGTGGGCCGTTCTGTACGTTCGGGGGGCTCCTTGTGGTCGTCTTGGACTGTCCTTGACCGTCTTGGTGGCCCCCCGGGAAGCCGGGAGGCGCGGTACCAGCCAGATGTCAGGGTATGTGTGGAATCTCTAGAAGAACAAAAAAAAAGTAGAGGCGCGGTACCGGGCGCCTCTTTGGCAATTCTGGCGGTTTCTTGGTCCGTCTTGGACCCGTCCTGGGAGTCTCTTGGGCGGTCCTGAGGCGGTCTTGGACCGTTGAAGCTCGAAAACGCGAGAAGACCAAAACAATCAAAATATACGATTTTGACCGCTTCGGGCTTTCCCGGGACGCCTCTCGGATCTCTCTTGGGGCCTTCTGGAGGCCTCCTGGAGGCCTAACGAGCCGTCGGAAGGGTGTCTCGGGCTGCGCTGGAGCGTGTTAGGCCGTTCTTTCCGTTTGGGGGCTCCATGGGGTCGTCATGGGCTGTCCTTCGGGGGATGTGTACGACCCCCGAGTCGGAGTCCCACTTTGAAAAAAAAAATGTATGTTTGGAACTCCTTCTGTGTTGTTCAAAATCCTCGATCTTCGAGGGTTGGAAGCGGGAAAAAGAGAGAAGGCGAAAAAACATTAGAAAAAATATTAGAAATCTGCGATTGAACCCTCTTTGGGCTCTCTCAGGACGGCTCTCGCAGCTCTCTTGGGCTGTTCTTGGAGCCTCGTCAGAGTCTTTTTGGGCCTCTCAGGGATCGGGGGTGTGTTGGGGGCCTCTGGGTGGTCCCGGAGGCCTCTCGGAGGTCTCTGGAAGCCCTCCTGCTCCCGCTCTTGGGCCCATCTTGGGCTTGTTCTGGGGTGGTCTGGGGCTGTCCTGGGCGCCTCTTCGGCAGTCTTGGGACTTCTTGGTCCGTCTTGGGGCCGTCTTGAGGGTCTCTTGGGTGGTCTTGGGGGGGTCTTGGGAGCCTCTTCAGCGCTCTTGGACCGTTGAAGCTCGAAAACGCGAGAAGCCAACAACATTTAAACAAACCAATGAAAATATACGATGTTGGCCTCTTCGGGCCGTCCCGGGACGCCTCTCGGACCTCTCCTGGGGTCTCTTGGAGGTCACCTGGGAGCCTCGAGAGCCGTCGGAAGGCTCACTTGGGCTGCTTGGGAGCGTCTTGGACCATCCTTTCGCATTCCGGGGGCTCCACGGAGTCGTCTTGGGCCCTCCTGGAGCGCGCTGGAGGCTCCCCGGAACGCACGGGGGTGCGGTACAGGGAGCTTTCTCGAGATGTCACGGGGAGGTGTGGGTGGCACCCGGGGCTGGGGGGCGGTATTTATTCAGATTATATATGTATGTATATGTAAGCAGTGGCTCTCCAATAAGAACTGTTACACCTGTATCAGCACGTGCGCACGTCCTAATCAGCAAAATCGCCATCAATACCACTGGAAAGATCAGCACGTTCGTCATCGCCATCGCCATCGTACCATTGTATATTCCTATGCATCTTCAAATTAATAGTCATCGCCACGATCATCTTCATTATCATCATCACCATAGTCAGCATCCTCATCAACCACATTATCATGATAGCAATCACCATCACCAGCACCACCGTTACCATCGCCACCGTAGCCATCGACATCATCATCACCATCAGCAGAATCAGCATCATCATCGTCAGCATCACCATCGTCTTTGTCGTTGTCGTCGTTCTCTCGATCATCGCAACCACCATCATCGTTGTCGCCGTCGCAAATGCCTTCGTCACCATCATGGCATGTCAGCTAGAGCCATGGCCCTGCATGAGATGGGTCGCTTCGTAACTGCACCAGTTGATTTGTACTAGCAAAAGGGACTGGTGGGTGAATTGCTTGCTTGAACATGGTGTTGGCGGCCTCAACATGTTCACAAGTTCGCCGGCCTAACGGGCCAGAGGCGTGTTAAGATCTCCAGTAACTACTTCACAATATTCTAGTTCGCGCGCGCGGGTCGGCCCCTGGGGGGCCCCGGGCGAAAAGTACCCCAGCCGATCCCTGGCTGGTTCCCGGGCGATTCCCAGGGGGGAGGCTATTTTTCGCCACCCTTCACGAGGATCGTGGCCTCCGAGGGGGGGGGCTACCCCCCCTCCCGCCCCAAGGGG